TGGGTGCTTTTTCATAAAGTGTGCGATGAGGAGACACTCCTGTTGAGAACATGAGTTCAGACAGCCTTGGTAATCCCCCAAAAATGTTGCTAGGCCTCTGGCATTAGTATTTAGAGAAGGTTGGAGGTTTGGAACTTAAGTTTTAGGTGAACTAGCGATCGCATGTTTTTAAAGGCAGCCTGGCACATAGACATAGCCAGTTTCTAAAATATGTTCCGAAGGCAATGGCTAGAAAGGCACAATATTAAAAGTTATTATTCAATGCAGCTTAGTATTTATTTAGAACATGGAATAAAAATCTCCTTACTCATTGAAGAACTGCTGCAAAGAGATGCACAGAATCTGGAAATCCCTTGACAAACATTTACACAGGAGGTGATGGTAAACAAACAGGACCTAATGCCTAGCACAATGCTTTTATAGGACATGTTTTATTAACAGCTTTGTATTTTTGCTCTGCCTGTCAGGAGAATCCTTTATCCCCAAACCTCTCATTGCAGATTTACTGTAAAATGTAGCTCTCTATTTTTAATCAGAGTATGGGGAATGAAGGGAGATATATATCCAAAAGTATTAGGAGGTAATACTCAACATCTCTGAAGGCACATTTATTGAATACTTCAATTTGACTGTGAACTCATGCTTAAATGGCTATCTTTGTTTTGCCATTGATGTATCATGATATTGTTCTCATACACTGATGCAGGTTTATTCATTGTCTGCAAGGAGCAGTATATTGTAGTCCTTTCACATGGGGAGTAAAGGCAATTTTTTCCTAGCTATAACTCTCAGATAATCCAAAAAGACAATGTTTTATTTAGGAACGTGGTGCAACCAACTCTGCTCTCAGAATGACAACTGATAACACTGTAACAAGACTGTGCATATGCTTCTATGCTCAGAAATGTTATGTCACTGTGCCAGACAACTGGGAACATTTAAATAGGACCCCATCTTCGAAAGGGAACACTCCAATTTTCCTGAAATGTTGAGTTTCAGGTGGCTAAAAAAGGATGCAGCTAAAATAAATAAGACATTACTAAAAATATATGTCTCATTCTTTTAGAAAAAAAATTTTAAACATTCAGATTTTGCCGTGAATTTTAAGACTAATTTTGAATCCTACTCTTTATGGGTAAACATACTAGTAAAATGTCGAGAATGATTAGTATGGATTTCTCTTAAAACTGTATTTTAATATATAGAGACATGTAGACATAAATTTTGCCACTAGCAGGTCAGATTTCCAAGGCTTTAAGAACTTTTCCTAGATTCAAGCTGTAGTTTAAGTAGGAGCATATGTTTCAATGCAATGTGTTTGTTAACTGAGGGGACCTGGAATTGTGGACTTTAATAAACTTGGGTGAACCCCTGGCATCTATTTAAGCTTCTTTTTTACAAAAGCTTTGAGCACAGCTGGCCTCTGCAACTTTGTGAGATAGTTAAGTGACGTTGCTGCATTAAATGGGAGATGGAAATGGAGCCTTTTTCAGTAACTCATGGTTAGTTTTGATAATATATCTTACTATATGTTTTGGTAACAATTTGCAAGTGTTGTATAAACCATACATAATCCTGGAATGAATCAGATGGTAGTTATCTCTGAGGACACATCTTCATCTTTTCTCTAAAAATAGAGTGACAGATTATATTTACATTAGCTTGAATTTTAACTGGAAAAAAAAAGAGAAGCAGATCTGATGCTACTGCTGTGAGGAGAGGTGTAAGATTATGGAAATTCCAGTTATTGTGGAAACAAAGATTGTGTTTTTTTTTTTTTCCCCAGAAGACTATTACTACTATTATTTAAAAATTATTTTTGTTCTATTCCCTCATACTCTGTTGATATATGAGGAGTCTTGGTCACCATTATGAGAATTTCATAATGTAAATTACAAAAAGTACAATAAATCATTGAAATTTAGTATACTATGTAGATAATAATATACAATAAAAAGGCTGTACAGATCTTGAATACTGTCTTTTACCTTGATTAACACTGTAATGCTTTATGGTAGAGCAAATGCTAAATATGTTAGTGTTAGTTATTTGATTTATGTTATTTTTACATATCTTCAACTTAATGGATGATAATTTATGTGTTAAAACCAAAATGTGGCTAGGTTGCTCTGTAACATACAAACTCAAGCAATTATCTATTGGATAGGACTGACTTGATCAACTTTAAGGAGTTAAGAGCTTCAGCTTCTGAACTATTCCATAGGAACTGCAGCCTATTCCACATAGCTAGAGGGGGCACCAATTAAAATGTATGTGAATAAGACTCAATTCATCCAAATAGTCTCAGAAATCACATGTTCCTCTCTGCTATCTTCTGAATGCCTCCAGTTCAATGAAATACATTACCTGTTGGATAATAATTTTATAATGAGTTGGTTAATGACAAAAAAAAAAAGCACACTCAGCTTTGGACTGTTATTTGCTTAATCACTGTATTTTTGACAGTTCCTGTCTCCTGAGAAGGTTTACCTGTACAGTGACTCATAGGTTACATAGGGAAATCCAGTATAACCTGTGACCTTAAAGCAGCCATTCATGTATTTTTCATTTCTTGTGAGTACTTAATTTTGATAATGCGAATAACTTTATTTCTAGTTCTTTAGATTAACTGATCTAGCACTGCGCTTTGGATTTGAACAACAGTGGTGGTGCCTGATGTAAGTTCATATTAGTTGAACACTTAAGGGCTGGTGTGAGACCAATCTCCCTCTTACACACATAGTTGCAGCATTTCACTGGCTTCATCCCCTTTTTTGTAACCGATGACATACCAAACCATTCCAGTGAGTCTCTTCACAAGTAGTCATAAGTTTTGTACTCATAATAGTTTTCCTTGGCTTTGTGAGCTGAACCCTCCAAACTATCATGAAAAATACAATCTCTTCTAATTTTATTTAAAAAATTGTGATAGATGCAGCTCAGAATTGCCACTCAGACACAACTGCAAGCATACTGGGGGCAGCACACCAAGCAAGGTGGTGTAATTTGGAGCAGCCCCATAACTCTCTCAGTAAACCCAAGTCTGTTAGAATCCATCCAAGTATCAACTGGGATGAATTGCCACCACTTCTAAATACAATTACTCAGCAAAATTACTTAAGACTAAATTGACAAATGCTGGTAGCTAAGGAAAAAAAATCTATATTGAGGTGTAATAAAGACAGTTAAATATATTCACTACAAAGAGAAATCAGAGATTCAAGGTATGTTTGCAATTAAAGATGTCTATTTAAAGTTTAATCTCAGTTTGACCACATATTCATAATTTACAAAGCTGTATGTTCTGAAGTCAAGAAAGTAAGTGGGAATTGTGAACCTAATAGCTTTATTAGTAAAAAAAAAAAAATATCTATATCCCAGTTACAAAAACTGGCAGATCTGCTGGGATTCAGAGAAGATCCCCAAAGAGATAAGCTTTTCAGACCAGTAATGATTGTCAACTTTCGGTGTCTTTGGTAGAATCTGTTGTACAGGTGGGTAAAGAAAGAAGCACATGCTTGCATTGAACAGTATAAATAGTTGAGTCAGCTCCTCTTTTGTGGGCCTTCCCACCTCTGGATAGTGCTATGTAGCAGAAGGAATGCTGTTGCATCCAATTAAATTGCTTGTGTTAGTGAAAGCACTTGACAATGTTAATTTAAAAATTACCTAGAGAGCTAGACCAGGACAGGCATCTAGTGACCTAAGTCCTTAGACTAGACACATGACTAATGCCCATCTCCTTTTTCTCTACTGTGTTCTCCAAATTATTCCTTAATCTCCTATTTTAGTAATCAAAACTGATTTGGTCCACAAGATCTAATTGAGTATATTCCTTCTCACCCACATTTCTGTTGCCGTATAAAGCCACTCTATTGCTGGCTGACAGTGAATAAGTGGCAAATCTCAGAAGGATGGCTGACAGTGGTGGAGTATATCCAAACTGTAATGAACTTGACTGACATTATGGGATGTAAGAAAGATGTCATGAAAAAGAATCAAACTGTCACAGAAATAGAAAGCCCCCAGATTGCATATGGATGCCTGCTTTTTATGTTTATACAGTACATTTGTACACTAGTCCTTATTTTGTCTGCAAGCTTTTATCTATACTCTTTGTTAAAGCTCCAATTTAGTTATCTTCAGCTGGTATTTTATAGCAACAGTCTGACACAAAGACTTGTTAATCAGACATCATTTTGTAAACAAGGAAAGTATATGCTATATATAGAATAAATTATAAGGAATTATGAAATACAAGCCTATCGTGATACTGAGGTTTCCTTTGGTGACCTTACAAACCACAACAGTGAGTTCTAAATGGATTAAGAAATAACCAGAACTCAAAAATAGCATTATATTCTTACTGTTAAAAGTGGAGTTTCAGAAATCACGCTTGGTAGGACACTACATTTAAATTAAACACTCTTTATTCCAGCTTCCTATTTCCCTCCCTTTTCTCATTTTGACATTCATTGATGTACATGAATACAAGTGACTATGAAGTAATTAGAAAAAGAATATAGTGAAGGAGCATAAATAAACCAGTGAGTAAGAAATTAATGGCCAAATGATACACCAATGCAAGTAGATTTTCTAGTATGTTCACATTATAGTCAGAAATACATTACTTATTACATGTTTGTGTAATAAATGCACATTTTTTAGATGAGAGCAAGATCTACCTTTATAGCTTGCTCTTCAATAGTGAAGAGGACACTATGAGCACTTATTCCCAGTGTTTAAAAGGACCAGTAGTGAAACAAACTCTTAGGAAATAAGGATGGGTCTGACCTAGGTCCAAGCCTGTAATGAACTTGTGGAGAACCTGTTCCTTGTGGTCTAGAGCCTCAACCAGGTAGCCAAATACTTCCTTTGTGCTTGTAAACCGCTATTAAAAAGCATATAAGTAAGCCTTAGAAAGCTGTAGGTATTTAGTGATTTGATCCGTAATGGTTGCATTCTAATTTGATGTTTAATATTGTAAAGAGAGTACTAACCTGATCTGAAGCCATGTGAGCATGGGTGTTGTGCCCCCACCAAATACCCAGACTGTGAAAAACACAATAAGCAGTGCTGTTGTAAACATCATTTGTTTGGGCTGGGATTCTGTGTCTCGAATAGCCAATGCAAATGCTATTGCACCACGTAAACCTAAAAAAAAAAAAAACAAACCAAAAACAACCCACAAGAATGATGAATCTAATGTGGTGGAGAAATGGAATTTTACTTTTTTCAGCTCAAACCTAATTCCAAGGGCAGAGGAAATTTTCAGACTGTGATAATGCTTGTAAAATGCTGAATTGTGTTAAGTGAAAGGATGCTGTTTAACACAATGTAAGCAACTTTGTGAGAGTGGACAACGAAACTACTCTCATATTCACATGATAATCACACATTTGGTTTAGATCCACTGAATTTCTTCTCTTGAATAATTGCAAGTTAAATAGTGATCTGGACTTTATGCATGTTAAAAAAGAAATCTATTCTCTGTGTTATTTTACTGCCTTCAGTGGGACTAAGCATGAAAGCAGGTACAAGTGAGAAAAAGGGTCATTGGCATTAAAATCTGTACCCAAATAGGCTACCCATTTCTTGCTTGAAAAAGTAGAAAATTTATTTAAAATTCCTTTAAAAACCTTGTGTGCTAAGAAGAGTCAGAAAAATTATGACTTAGAATGAATTTTTAAAAAAATGATTTTTAGTATCTAAAAAAGGGATGCAGAATAAATGTAGATTTTTAGCCCTTAGTGTACTTGAAATATTATAATAGTTGTAAAATTATACACCTACAGAGGCAGAATAAACAAAAACTTGCAAATGTAGTGAAAACAGCTAATAGTAAGCTTTAAAAAAAGCTCCATAGGTAGTAATAAGCTAACTAAATATGTCCTTGCTGAGTGACACATTTAAAAAAGGAGAGAATAAAAATCCCTCTAGTGCCTCCAGCCCTCAGCATGCATAATGCAAATAATACTCTATATTTTCTAATGCTTTTCATTTATCTATTTAAATTTACTTTATTGTTTTCTTAAAAAAAAAATCCACAAATAAGCATATAGAGTAAAGCCATTACACATACACAATACACACATCAAAAATGTTCTTTGCAAGTATCAAGAGATTAAAATCTAATAATTAAACCTCTTGTAAGGTACATGCAGAATCTTTTAATCAGCTGCTAAATTGGCTATTTTTTTTGAGTAGAACTCTAAAGCTCTTTAAGTTTATATAGCTAGAAAGTTAATTATTTGGTATAGAAGATGGATGGTTTCTCCAGAGAACAACACAAAGCCATTTCTGCAAGGAAGTACCAGACTGTAGCTACAATAGCTGAAAATGGTCAGTGGCAGCAGGTTTAAAATCTCCACTTCTATGAAAATAACACTGCAGTCAATAAGTGGGCTTGTCCTTTGTTTTTATGTAAAATACATCTCTAACAATGCACATGTTTTACTGTTTTCTTATAGGAAAAAAATATCAGCTCATTGTAAACATCTGAGGAGGGAGTCAGCCACCACTGGAAATGGTCTTTTTCTGGTGGTTATAGCGGTAATCTAGATGACTAGTCTAGATGAAATGCTTAAATAATTGGTGGTTATGTTTTGTGGAAAACAGTGCTGCATTCCACAACTGCATCACAATGGTACATGCAATATTAAATCTAGAACATGTCTTTTAGGAAGAGAGATTATTTTTAAAAATTATCATTAATATGTCATTAAGACTCTACTTCTTGAGCACTGGACTCGATATTTCTTCAGTTTAGAGGAACAGTGAGTGCCTTCACTGCATTTTTCATTTATAAAAGGCTCGACGTGTCCTGTAAAAGCTAATTCAGTTTCAACTAAAACAAAAGTAAAATAAATAATCAAAGAATTTGTTTCCAACTAAAGCAGTGGGAAGCAGACAAATATAACCTAAAATGCAAACACTCAGTGAGAAGCAAGGAACACTATATATCAAAATACATTTCAAGTAAAAATGCAAATGAAGAAGGGGAATTTTAACAACCTCGGACGATGGTAAGGTATTGAAATAGACTGAAGACAAGGAAGGTTAGGTTTTCTGTAACACCTCAGGAAAAATTACAACAAAGCACAGTGGAATTATTGGCTGCAGTGGACATTGGTACCTTAGCTACACTTGGAGAGAGTGGCATGTTGGAAGGAAAGCGCTCTGATGAACCATTAGCAGAGATCCTCTCCCCTCATCTTTCAGAGAGGGTGCGCTTAAATCAGCTCCACTCCTGTGCTGTGATCCATTGATCCTTTGGGCTCTATCACAGATTTCCTACCAGATTTTTCTGCTAGCTGTGTCAGCCATTCTGCTAGCTGTGTCAGCCATACTGACCTTCATCTCTGAGATATTCTTTAATGTGTTAGAGCCTCCAAAGGAAACCACCCCCGGGGTATGTCCTACTGGGCTGTTATCCATCCTTTGCTCACGCTCCACACACATCACTCCAGACCCATTCCTCTGAAGAGCCGTTGAGGGCAGTAGTGTTTGTGGGTAGTGTGGAGAGAATCTGCCAGGAAAGGAGACTTTCTGTACGTAGATCTGGTGTTTTGCTTTCAATCACAGTCATCTGCTCTTTTCTTCCTTGCTTTCCTTTTTCTTTAGCTGATTTATTTTCATATTTATTTTCCTAGAAAAGTTCACTTTGACACTTCCCACCACCATGTATGAGTGTGCAGATGTAAATGCCTGTAGAACAGCTGCCTGCACGCAGACATTCTTTTTTTGGTTTTCTTCTGCATTTGTGTTCCACCTTTTCAGACTCCACTGCTGCTGTAATGTCTTACATTAACAGCAAACACCCCTGTAGCACTGTGTCATAGACCCCTAGTGTATAGTGATATCTCCCTTACAATTTAAGGCATTCAAATATTTCTTTTTCACATGAGCAGAGAATGCTGACCTGCTCATTTTAGCTGATGTTGAACTTAATTTGGGAAGCTCAGGCTTAATTAAACAAGGACTAATCTAGTTTTGATTTATAAGGGAATATCATCAGGAATCACAATTAAACATCGTTGTAAAAGTGATTCCACCCTCTGTAACATGTTGTTAGAGGAGTGGCAGAAGCAGATGAAGAATGTAATAAATCACAATGCTACATACTCCACTTCCAAGCCTAACTCTTCCACATTTCTAATATGTGTTAATACTCCTCAAAAGGTAGAACTTAATGACTTCAGTAGAATTATTTGCAGAGTAAGGTATATGCAAATGCTAATAAACAATGGACTTGCTTGACCTCAGTTGTTTTTCTTGGACTTTGATATTTGTGGTGATTATGGCAGTAAGACTCAGTAAAGAAAGCAGTAAATGTTTGGTGCATTTGGTAATGATAAGATGGAAAACAAAATTAACCCCAAATTCATTGTTTTCTACATCTGAGTGTGTGATGCTGTGGTGAGTGAAGTTCAGTTTTCCCTGCGTTGACTAGAACTTGATGCTATACCAGAATATTGCTGCTGTTCTTGTGTAGGCAATAAGCATCTTCCTCCAAACTCAAATTCAATGCCTTGTTTACTCATATCAGAAATGTGTCTTCTGGCAGGCATTGTCTTCTCTATCACTATATACAGCATGATTAGTTTATAGTAAGTAAGGATGTTATTGGTAACTAAGCAGAAATCTTATTGCATATTAAAAAGTACAATTACACAGAAAATCCACATATCCTAAGTGTTCTGTGGGGCGTGAAGCTGCTGGCAGTGTGAAAGACAGTGAATGTCTTTATTGCTGTATTTGCAGATGATGCCATTTACTTTTTTATAGTGTTGTAATGACATTTTTCTCCACAAAATACAGTGTTTCTATAAAAACAGTTAAAAATTACTTGTAGGAGTATTATAAGATTTACATTTGAGAAGCTTTCAATACTACTATTTCAGTTCCCAGCTGCCAGGTTGAACTGGAAAGCTAATGTGTGAGTTCTCGCGTTCAGTTGTTGGCTGCAGGCTACTTTCTGCTCCTGGTTCTGCGGAGAATGAAATTTGACTGGGGAAAATGAGGACAGAAAAGCTGAAGAATAAGATATATTTTAGAAGATTTTTAATTCTGTATCTGATGAAAAATAAAAGCAAAAATGGAGCCCAGAAACGAGGTAACTAATGATATGAAGCTATTATTCATGCTGTTGTCTAGCTGTCCACCTGCTAGCTTTACTGGAGTGATCTACATATGCATCTTAGCTAACAATTGTAGGTGAGCAAGTGGTCTGAAAGCCAGTTCCTAACGGGTGTGTCATCATCTTTCACTACAATCTAGCTGGTATTAACTGACACTTTCAGTTGCAGCTTTTAGCAGAAGGGTTGAATGGATAAAGAAATGAGCTACTGTGTTGCTGTCTAGAGAGATGGAATTATATAGGCCTAAATAAGGCCCCCTGGTGTGGAGTTCTCCTGATGAGGGAGCGTGAAATGTGGCACATTGTATTTTACTTGTTACATGGCTAAGCAAATCAGTTTACATCAAGATTGTCAATCAAGAACTTTTAATCAAAAAAATTTGGAATTGTTTTTTGTGTAAAAAGCAGGAAAATGAAGAAAAAAGAAAAAAAAAAAGTGCTGACTTTCTAATTTTAGAAAATTATTTCATAAATGGTATTGGAGGATTTGTGTTTCTGTCTTTTACTGAACAAATATTCTTAGCTTGTGAGTTTTTCTGAAATAGCATCAGAAACTCAAGTGAAGGTATTTCTAGCTTGTGCAAGTCCAAAAATACAGAATCCAGCTGAGATTTTAACAGTTCAGGGGATGATGCACGTCAGAGCAGAACATGGCTCCCTCTTCTGGATTATTATTTTTTTTTTAAATTCTTCAGTGTTAACCAGAGTTAAAAATTAATAAAATCTGAATTTGGAAAATAAAGTACTCAACTATCAGGCTGGAATACATATGAAAAAGGCTGTGGAATTAAAGTCTCCTAGTCTCATGTTTCGAAGTAAAACTGTTCCTGAAGTTAAAGGAATTGCCAAAGACTGTGTCTGATTTGAGTATCAGTACTAACACCTTCAAAGTTGGATATTTCTCTACTGGTGCATAAGCACACTGTCAGGTATACTACAGATGCCTCTAAAACAACACAGGAAAACATGATATTCCCAAATTGTTATGCAAGTGTAGACAGATGGGGGACAGAGGGTTTGGAAGACTGACTTCCTGGGTGGTAGGTATCCAAAAAGTTAATTAAAATAGGTCCAGAGCACAGTGAGTCTGACAATACATCCATTTGCTTCAGTAGCTTTGAAGAGACTATCTTGACTTTTAAGATAATGACTTCTTTGTGATAGATGTGGCTTCTTCTAGTGATAGATGCCTGTCTTTGTCAGTTATTAAATGTGTACAGGAAAAATACCAAAACAGCACTTACCTGAAAACATCATCATGTGCTGAAAGTTCCTGGGAATCTTTTGTTTTCGACCCAGATTCAAAAGGAAAGAAAGCGGGTATATGTTGCAAGCTCTTGCTACGAGAACTGCCACCTAAAATGTAGGATGTTGAGGAAAATGGTGGAGGAACTACTGACAAAACCAGAGTTAAACCCAATATGTTTCCCACTTTCTTTTAAAAGTGTAATTAAAATGAATATGAGATTATCTTCCTTCATATTTTACATGTCAGATCCTTCTGGTTCCAATTTCATTATAAAGCTGTGCAGTGGCAGAGATTGTCTTCCCCAGACATCCTAGTTTTATATTCATCATTATATATCCCACTTCAATCACTTCTACTCATCACATTTGTATCACATGTGACTTCATCTTCAGTCCTTCAGTAAAATGCCTCACATCAATTGCAGAGATGGCATTATCTCTTTGAGCAGCAATTTGCAAAGAATAAATGTGCTTTCGGACATGATTACTTTCTTATTTCCTGACAATTCATATTGTCTATATCCAGCACTCTGCTTTTTTTTTTTTTTCCTCTTTTTTTTTTTTTCCTTTGGAGATTTTGCTAAAGGAGTTCTTTATTACTCCTCTGTGGAACGATCACAAAAGTTGCATTAATTAGAAAATGAGGCTATTTCAGATTAAAAAGAAAAAAGACAATCAGAGGACCTTATACCTGCTTTTAGCAGGTTCCATCCTCCCCTTGTCTTGTGACTTTTAGCGCTCAATTATGGCACTCTTAGTCTGAGACATGCTGTGGACTGTAGAATAGATGCAGTACTTGTATGTGTCTTCTGCTGGGCCAAGAGCTGCTTAAAGCTCCTATAGGCTTGGGAGAACATGCATTAGCATCTTAGGCACATGGTGTAAATACATCCATGTACACTACAGGTATCAAATACAAAGAAGGGAAGATTTGAGCAATGCAGATCTGTTTGCTTTTTAAGGACTTAATATAATTCCAGTAGCTTTGGGGAAGTTCTACTTATGGAACATACCTGTCTGGAAGCGGCTCTACAGTTAGCAGATCTGCACTGGGTTTGAAAAGGCAAAAAGATTTTGTGTGCCTGTACCTGTCCCCTCAGAGAGATCCCAATACACATCTCAATTTTCCATCCCACTTGTAAACCAGTGGTACAAGTTCCCCAGCTCGTTTAATACAATTTGCTTTGTAGCAGATCTGCAAAACAACTGTCAAAAGACCACGTGCTTACATGCATTGAGCCAGTTATTGAGATATACATAATAAAGACGACTGATTACTTTTAGACCCAACAAAAAATTGATTTTTAGTATTTAAGAAACTAATTGTTTTGCTTGTTGACTTTTTTTTTTTCACATGGAGCAGTCATTCTTTATATATATATATATATATATATATATATAAATATATATGTACATAGACATATACTTCTTTAAAGGATACAAATGCACCAAATATAAAAAGAGGATTGAAGATATGGTTTTGAAACGTGAATAGTGCAAGTCCCATGTAGCAGAAGATGACGTTCTCAGCCAAAAAATTCATGAACTCGAACAACTTAAATGAGAGAGAAAGAACATAATTATGATTCATGTCTGTAACTGTTTATCACTAGGTTCCCTTGGAATACGGAACTGTTTAATTGAAAGGAACAGAAATCCTAGCCATTTCAAGGGTGGATTTTAAAACTGTCTAATTTGCTGTACAGTATATATGGTGTCTTTTAGCTTCAAAAATCTTGCATGCATGTTTTTCTCTGATTTTTGTATGAAAGTTTGACATAGACAACTGATTAAATACATAAACAGCAAGTTAGTTATACAAGCTTCAATGCAAGCTGGAAGGAAGCTGAGGGAATTCAACTTCACTCATTTTTACACAGGTGAGCCTGGGAAATGGCTCCTGATTCCACAAGTGGCTATGCATAATACAGTACTGGGTATGGGTACAGTAATGCCAAGAGAAAAAAAAAATTCTAAATGGAGTTTTAAGATCCTCTGCTTTTAAAATATAACACTTTTTTTTTTTTTTTTTTAAATTACCATTAATATTATCTTGCAGATGAAAAATTTTATTGAGCTTTACGGACATCAATATAAACTATTAATTTCAAACCAAACTATTTAAGTTATCATTTAAACACAATATAAAATAAGCCTAAAATACATAATTATGGTAAGGATTTCTTCTTTGAAAAAAACAAACAAAATGAAAATATTTATTTGCCTTGAGGGGATGTTCTTGATTGCATTTGCAGCTGATTTAGATAAAAAGCTAATAAAATAAATTTTCATCTTTATCCACATCTGGAAAAAAAATCAATCCTTGCTGCCAAATAACTACAGAGGAGAGAAGACGAGGTCTTTTTACTTCTGAAGTAATTTTTGGGCTCAGGAGACTATGCTAACAAATCCTGATGCAAAATTAGGGCCGAAGTTTGTCAATCTGTCTACAAGCAGCCATACATCACTATTTGGAATGTTACTGTGGAGATATTTTATTCATCTTCAATGGGCTTAAATAAAAATAAATATCCAATGATAGTCACTAAGATCTAATAAAGCAAAAATGAGAGCTGTCAGAATCATTATTTTTAACAAATTTCAGAGGCAAAATGGCATAAAACCCAGTAGTATATGGAAAGATACTTCAGACCTCATGGCAGCACCATTAATTAGCCCAAGCACACATTCCATAGCCCCCATTTATGCTGCAGTGCTGAACAGCATGAAAACAATCATAAGAAATATTTGTATGTTTGTAAACTTAAATTATTTAAATTAAGTTTAAATGAGAGAAACCAGCTGTCAAAAACACTCGAAGTACGGGATCTTGCAACCCATAGGAATTATTATGACAAATCTTTGTATTTCCATTTTGGGTGCAATCATGATCCCACTTCTTAGTGGGAATGTCACTTGAGACATTTTTCTAATGCTTTAAACAATGTATCAGGAATGTCATGACAGAATCTGTATATATAAAAACATATATTTGTGTATATATATAAATCTTTTGAGGGAAGGGTACTGCTACGAGGAATATGCATGTTTAGGTTGCTGGGATAAAAGTGCTCCTGAGATTTTAAAGTTGAATGATATTTCACTCTTAATTTACAAAATCTAATTCAAGACTTAAAGAAATGTAAAGTACATCTGCTACTGATGTATTTTAGAAACACAGCTTCTAAAACTGAAGTTCCTTTCTTAAATTTTCCAAAGTTCTGTTGACATATTTTTGGAAGAAAAACAGATTTTCCTATATCATTGCTTTTGCTGTATATTCTTTCTTCAACATTAAATTCAAACTTTTACTCTTGCCTGAAGTGCCTTCATGACATTACTGCTTTTAAATTTCTCACCCCTTGCCTCCCAGCAATCTGGTCAAGATGCAGTCTTTATGTATTTCTTGTAAATTCAGTTTAGTGCATCTTCTACATCTCCCTGTTAACTTTACCTCCTTTTCTGGCTACATGCATCCTGTTTCTTCCTACTTCAATGCAGCTTCAGACCTGAAGAGTCAATTCAGTAAGTGATTCTTAAAAAGAAAAATCTGTAATTCTTGACTATGTGTTTCCAATCAACATAAACAATATATACTCTCTACGCTCACTGGGTCAGTGTTTCCTGTGCCACCAGCATAGGCCTATTAATTTTTTGAGCCTGTATTTACAGTGTGTGTATTACTACTTAGCCCCATCATCTGTCAGATACATGCAACACTGTAATCTGTTGCAGTTCTTGAATCATATTGCTGGATATCAACTGGTTTGTTTGCAACAGCAAATGCAATCCAAATCCCTTTTTTTTTTTTTTTTTCCCTGTAAATTTTGGTGCGGATCTGTGCTGGTTTTTCTCCCTCTCTTATCAATAGTTCCTTCGTATTTTGGTCTTCCACTATCAGAGCACTGCATACTTGCTAGAAGATTAAATCCAAACTAGTTTTCTTCCTTCGTATAGCAAAAATCCAGGTGCTATTTCAATAGCTATTCAGAATAGACTCCTTCCTATTCCACACACAGCCATGATACGGTCTCTTCTGAAAGATTCAGCTCTGTAGAATGGTAAAACCAGCTCGTTAACTTCATTCAGAATCTTCTGTATGCCCTATATTTCCCCATGAAGTATATCACTCATATGACACATTTATTCGTGAATTGTAACCTATTCAAATTTCTCACCCTGAGTTAAAAAAAAATCAAAAGTATTAGCTGCTGCAGAACTAGTTACTGTCATAAAAGAAGTGATATCTGAATGCCTCTTCCTGGAACATGATGCCTGTAGGTGTAACAAGAAACTTATCCACTGTCCTCCAGACTTCCTTTTATTCCTGTATTCAGCATAGTGTTTTATTTAGTGTTTCTTCAACTTCTGTGTTTTATTCAACAGTAATACAGAACCCATGGAGATACTCCATTAAGCACTTAACTGTCAGCACTGTGCAGCATAAATCCTGTCAGAATATAACCATTTATTCTAAAGAGATCTTTTAAAAATGATATTAAGGAACAGCTTCTATAGAAGCATTTTCCTAAATTGTCATGCCTTTCACACAAACGTTTCTGTCATTATTTTAAAGATGAGATGTCAGGACCTTTTCACGAGAAGCGGAATAGGAGGAAGAGGTTTCCATCTGGAATTTATAATTTCCTGGGACGCCCAAGATGTTCCAAGAAGAGTTGCACCACACATACTAGTCTCTAAAAAAGCATCCTTTTTTGTCTGAGTAGCCATATTCCAGGTCTATGCTATGGTCCATGGTCTGCTTCAATGCCACACAAAAATTTTCCTTATTTGTAATATATGTACTTGTATGTGGGATTACTTGCATTAAAAAAAAAAAAATAAAAAAAATATTTAGGATTAGAATCCTAGATATTGAGTCCTTGGAATTATTTTGTCTATAACCATGAATTCCCTTCCCTTGCCTCCTGCACAAACAACTGGCCTCTTTCAACTCTAAATTAAATTGGCATTAAACTGCTCATATGCTGCCATTAGCTTCCCCAAGACTACCAGAAAATTATACTAGAAACCATTTTAATATACACAGTAGTAAGACATCTTTTAAGTATAAAACTAAAAAAACCTGATTTGTAATGTGCCATTTTTACTCCTCTACAAATCTGTAAGTCTGCTTATAGCTTTTAAGTAAGAGCTGTAATAAATCACCAGTGTCAACACATTGCGGGGTAGAGTATTAATTGCAGACACTGGTTCAGAACCAATCCAGGCACTTGGTTGAGATGTTTAGCTCAGTGAGATACTGGAATGGGTATTTGCTTTGCTTTGGTTATTTCATCTGTAAAAAGTGGATATTACAAAAGATTTATATTAAAAAATGTCTATTAAAATTGGTATGATATTTATATATTTAAAACCACATCATTCACCAAAAATGCTTAGTTTTTCCATTACTTTCAGCTATTGTAAGTACTAAGAGTGATGTGGAAAAAATCAGCTTTAAGCTGGGACATTCTTCTGGAAAGTGCTGCTTGCAGTTCAGTTCTCACTGGCAGAGGAAGGAATCAGTCCAGGTTATCTACACCTTAAACCTTGCTGTAACTACTAAGTTTATCTGATTCCCATGTTTTATTTTAACTCAAGTGAAAAATTTTATATGATATAAAAACTGTATTAGTTCTATCTTTTGAGTGAGATAAGGAAAGTGCTTTCTTTTTTTCTGCCGCTTCCTTCCCTCCATCCCCACAGTTAAGTTCAAGCTAATTAGAGAAACAAGCTATGCCAAAACGGGTTTTACAACTTGATCCATTTTAGAGAACTACTTAAATTTTCACAGAGTATTAGAGAGGTTATCTAGGTAAGTAATTAGTGCACCTGGAAGATGGGACACAATAATTCCAATCTCGGCTGCAATGAAAATAGAATTCTTTAAAGGAGCATCAAAAGGAGAAAATGAACACGTTCTGTGCCACAGTCGGCTTGTGCTTGGGGAGATGCAAAATGTAAGATTCCTCAAATCCTAATATTTTAGACAACATTTTTAATCTCAAGGGAATAAAGTTAGTATGAGAATACTGGGTAAGGACAGAATTACAAATAGAATTCTGTCATCTTAAGGGAATAATGCTAATATGAGGGTATTAGGTAAAAGCTGAATTACATCCAGAACTTATTGCCAGCAAAATTCAGTGAACTTCACTCACTGATGGCAATACTTCATTATTTCACTTGATTTAATACCTGCTGAAGGAATGTCATCCACCTCTTAAAGGTACCTGCAAGCCTTCTCTAGTTGCATTGATTTTGCTAGCAACATGAAGGAATGCCACCTGTCTAGGGGTTACATCTTAACAATATATACTTGCATGACATCAAAATAGGGAGTTTCAGCAGTCCAACAGCAGCCTGAAGCTTGGATGTAAAACTGATTATAATTTTTAAAAGAGATTTGAAGGTGATGGAGAGCTATTAAAATCCCAAGCAGTCAATGTTAAGTGATGGTTATAAATTTTATTATATTTGCATAATGCTATTTAATTAGAACACAGCTATCAAAAATGTTCCATGAAGTCAAGGATATTGATAAATCAATAG